AAGTAATTCTTAATATATGCATCCACTATTATACAGCAACCTAGAAGAGAAAATGAGATGTATGCCATATACTATATTCCTGAATGTGGTGCAGGGTTCTTCTTTCTTCTGCATGTTTGGCTCTTCTTTCCCCAAATGCTTTCATTTCATGCTTAACAGCCTGTTTCCAAGTGCTTGGATCCTCAGCAATCTTCTCCTAGTCATTTGGCTCAATGTCCATTGCCTTCATATCTCTCCTGCAAACATCTTTGAAATGGAGATAAGGACACCTGTATGGTCTTCTTCCCGTAACGAGTACTTCATACATGAGATCCTTGGGTATATGGCCATTAAACATTCTCCATATATGACCATGCCATCAAAATCATCACTGACTGAGGAGAGAATGTATGCTCAGAATGTCAGTACATTCCAGTATCTCAGCATAGGCAACTTTGTCCCATCAGGAAATTCCTAGAATGTGATGAAGACAACGGAAGTGAAAGCTGTTGCGTCAATTTCCTTGACTAGGGTATGTGGTCCAGTATTTTCTGCCATACAAAAATGTGTTGATAAGGCAAGAATTATATACTTAGATCTTGGTCTTAACAGTCTTTTTGTTGTTGTTGCACACACATTTGCTCAGCATGCTCACGATACCCAGTGCTTTACCAATACAGGTATTCAGTTCAGCCTCAAGTGACAAGTTGCTGGTAACAATGGACTAAAGGTATGTAAATTTACTTACAACATCCAATATGTTTTCACCAATTGTGATCACTGGTGATAAATCAAAGTTCTGGCCCATAATATTGGTCTTTTTGATGTTGAATATAAGACCAAACCCTTGACAGGCATGAGTGAAGCAACTGATGAGGCTTTGAAAGTCACTCTCTGTGTCAAATATCCATGCAGCATCTTCAGCAAACAGCAACTCACAAGTCAAAATTTTCCTCACTTCAGTCTTTCCTTGAAAGTGTGTGAGGTTGAATAATTTCCTATTTGATCATGTATATAGATAAATGTCTTTGGTGATAGTCCCAAAAGAGTACATTAGAAGAGAAAAGAAAATCCTGTACAAGGTCAGGGCAAGGATACAGCCCTGTTTGACTTGGCTTCAAATCTCAAAAGCCTCAAACATTGATCCATCATAGGCTGATTGTTCCCCATATTCCATCATGGAATATGGGCATGCTGAAGAATTTTGGTGGACATCCAATCTTTCCCAATAATTTGAAGAGGCCTTTTTTAATTATAAGGTCGAAGGCCAAAGAAGGTGATAGAGAAGTCTCCTTTGTTCCCTATGTTTTTCTTGGATTTGTCAGAGTGGAAGGATCGTATTTACAGTGAACCTACTAGCTCTGAAGCTTCACTGAGACTCAGGGTCAATACAGTCAGCAACGATCTGAAGTGTTCCGAGTACTACCCATGCATTGATCTTTCCGACACTGCCTAATAGTGAAATGTCACAATAATTGTTGCAGTTGCTGTGGTCATGTTTATTTTTGTACAGTACCTATACTTCACATACCTTGTCCCTACTGTCCAACAGTGAGTAAGAAGCTTAAATAAGAGGGAAAAAGCATGGGTTTCCGGTATTTGATCACTTCCATGGAAATGCCATCTTTCCCAGAGGTCTTGACAATGGCCAGATCATCTGTGGCCTTTCTTAGATCCTCAACAGTTGGAATATTATCAAGCTCTTCAAGGACAGACTATCAATAGAGTTAATGCCTCTGTCAGTGACATCACTTTCCCTTAAGCAGAGTTCAAGATAGTGTTTTACCCATCCTTCTATCTATGCCTTTTGATCTGTTATGACTTCTGCTAACGGTGTCTTTAATGGAACTGATTTCTTTGCAATTAGATGTAGCACCTTCCTGATTCCATGATACATGCCTCTGATGTTTCCAGTGTCAAATAAGGACTGAATTTTCTCACAGTAGCAGCCAATAGTCACTATATAATCTTATTAAAATTTATCTATGTGTGTATGTATGAATAAATATACATTTCCATATCTATATATATATATGTATATACGTGTGCATGTATGTACACAAACTTATTTACTAGGCATATTTTGAGGTGAAGAATGAACAACTCCTCTCCAAAATTTCAGTGAACACTAGCCCATCACTCAGCTGAAAGGAGATTAGATTCCATATGAAATCAGATACTTCACAAGCATAGGATCATGTGAACCTGCAAAAATTCACTTAGTTGTATGCTTTTAGAACTACACTTCATGATATTCCCCTAAAAAGAAAAGCAAAAAAATCACACATACAAGAAGTGTTTGTGTTTTCCAAAAACCACGCAACTGCTCATATCCTAGCTATTATTTTTAAGTCACAAGGTACAAACTGATACATGGTTTGGCAAATCCATCATCTCTGTTAATGTTAAGTCATCTTGTGACTAGATGAGAATAGAAAGCCTCTCAGTTAACCCAACAAGAAGGTCTCAGTACCACAGTACTGAAACCAACAGCCAAACTCCACACTGACTTCAACAGAGACAAGGGGATACGGATCAGTTCTACAAAACCATGGAGATCTTTATATAAGCATATATTATGGCAGGGAAATGAAAAGCTTTATTGGAGTAAAACAAAGAAGTACATCAAGAAACTGCCTCATTAAGAGGAAGGTGACACAAATAACTTGAAGGAAAAAATTAGGTGCTAGATAGACCTATCATACAATAATCCTGTGCTTTCAAGAATTAAAATTGCTTTATACTGTAGGTTTGGGTAGTGGTTTCTTTCCACATAAAACTTACCATACTTACTTTTACCTGAAAATCATCCAGACAAATATTTGGAAATGTATTGAGAAACAGTTTATATATCTATATATTCAGCAAATACTTTCAGCATTGGCAAATTGTATAATTGAATACATATGTTTTTTATTAACTGCTGTTATACTTACCTCACACGAAGATTGGAAGTTTTGAACTACAGTTGACAATTTGCAAAATAAACATTTCCACAAAATCATTTCAAATACCAACTCCCTTAAAAACACTTCTAAAAATTTTCTTCAAGAGAAAGTGTAGCTTGATGCTTTCACATTTAAAAAAATCCAGCAAATATATGTTTTGATTGCTGAGTTTCAGAGCAAAAAAAAAGTCCTTTATTTTAGGCTCTGATAATATTGCCCACTCAATTCAATAAAAATCCTCACAAAGTTTAGAGTTAAGTATGTGTAAGTCTTCACACAAAGTCTAAGTTTACTGCTACGCATTTCAAGAATTTCTCTTTCGTTTGCCTGTGTTTTTAGTTGTACAATTTTTGTCTGTAGCAGTAGATTATTTACCTCTGAGGACCTTAGGGAGCACAGGAAAATATGGTTTAAACTCAACACTTTGCCTCCATTCACACTGAAGAAATCTGCTATACTTTCACTTCATCAATTCAGAGAGATCTCCAAATTGCTCTTCAATTGACTTTCAGAGGTACCACTGTACTTAATTAGCACAAGCATGTGACAATGAGCCACTGGTAGGGTGCAAAAGTCTCTTCTCATAGCTGATACCATAAATCAAATTGAACCTTGACAAGTTCATGACAGGGATTATCATACAGACATAAATGCACAATCTTATCCTGAATACACCAAAAATACCTGTGTGGATGGTATACAACTCTATCAAGACACCTAGGGAAATAAGTATCGCCTGAAAAATAATACATAAACATACACTGGGCACCAAGTAACTAATTTTCCAAGTTATGTGATAATTCACTTTTGTGGAGTTGAAAGAAGGTCCAAGGAATCTCTTACACTCATTCCACTCATCAGGTGCCAACAGACAGAAAGGGATGAAGAAACAAGGTCAACAAAGGAATATTTTCCTTTTCTAAAGATTCTATTAATTAAAACAGGCTACTTCATCCAAAAATGGATAACCAGAGGAGGAAGTGAGGCTGAGAGGCAAGGGCACTGAACTAGGGCTCGTGAGACCTGGTGATTCCCAACTCTGCAACTCATTTGCTAAGTGACCGTAGGGCAAGGTACTTGCTGTCTTTCTGACTCAGCTACCTCATCCGGAAAATAGGAACAATGATACTCACCTCCTTTGTAAAGAAAGGACTTTGAGATCTACAAATGAAAACTGTTCAGTAGGAGCAAGATAACTGTTGTTAATAGTAAGTCATTAATCCCAGTGCACATCAATGTGTAAACTGTGGAGTCTTTTATCACTGGTATAGAAACTGCACTTACCTGATGAAGTACTACAGATGTTATAGAGAGAGAGAGAGAGAGAGAGAGAGAGAGAGAGAGAGTGTGTGTGTGTGTGTGTGTGTGTGTGTTAAATAAATGTATATGCTAACTGATGCTGACTGACATTTTGAAAACTGTCCATATTTCAACCAAAATAAAAAACAGTTTTTTACCACTAAAATTATCACTAAAAAGGTTTGCAGCATTTTGACCAGGTTCAAAAAGAACTGTTACTCTGAAATTGTAGCTTAATTCAATAGTCTAAATGGTTCATTTATAAAACCTATTCTATAACTTCTTAACTTAATTTTGCTCTTAAGTTGATCTGCCCCTTACTGCAGGAAGTCACCAAAAACATTTACTTTAATAGTCATTTTTGTTTTCCAGATTTCATAGAATCACAGAAAATTAGGGTTGGAAGGGACCTCAGGAGGTCATCTAGTCCAACACCTGCTCAAAGCAGGACCATCCCCAACTAGATCATCTCAGCCAGGATTTTGTTGAGCTGGGCCTTAAAAACCTTGAAGGATGGAGATTTCACTATCTTTCTAGGTAACCTGCTCCAGTGCTTCAGCACCCTCCTAGTGAGAAAGTTTTTCCCAAAATCCAATCTAAATCTCCCTTTGTGTTGTCCTTCTCTCTCCCAACACTTCTACACTTCTATGTTATTTCTTCCTTTCTGCTGCTACTTCTAACACAGAGTTACACCATAAGTTTGCTGTGTATATATTATTTTTTTAAGAGAAAGAAACCCAACAAGAGCACGTGACATAAAATTAAGCTACTTACCAACTATTGCCAGATTATGTTCTGAGCCACATGCAATCTGCAAAAGAAATGTGAACAAATGAAGGAGAATATATAAATACAAGTAGTAACAGGGTAAAAATAACCACAATTAAAACTGAAAATTAAAAAGGGGGGAACAAGTGAGTTTGTAAAAGGTAAAAACAAGCTTAGAGTGTTCTGTGAGGTTTCAGAGGAAATTCACTGAGTTGTTTTGTTAACGAGCAACTATTTATATTTCAAAAACCAATCATACTTGGTACTTCTATGCTTCACAATTCTGAAAAGACATCCAGTAAAATCTGTTTATGTATATGTTTGCACTGTAGGCAAACCAGCAGTGATTCTATCCTCACTGGTTTTGTCTAGAGAAGAAAAAAATATGGTAAAGGACTGAATGCACCTGAGCTCTTTCCCCAGTATGAAACCCAGTTTTAGTGGTTTTTTAATTTGCAAAGCTAGAACTAGAAGGGAGACAATAATGAAATACTCTTTTCATGGCTTGCTTGCTAATGGCACTATCAAAAAGTGCCCTGGAAATCAGCTACTGTAACCAATGACCCCCCCCCCAC